TTTCCAGATTGAGCTCCACCAGATCCTGCAGGCTGTCCAGGGTCCCCTCCGCCAGACTCCCGATCTGGTTGTTCTGCAGCCGGAGAGTCTTCAGCTGGGTCAGTTGCTTGAAGAGGTCCGGAGAGACGTTGGAGATCTGGTTCCGCCCCAGATGTAACAAGGAGAGTTTGGGGAGCCCGTCAAAGACTCCGTCAGGGAGGGAGGCGATTTCGTTCCGGTGCAGATAAGCCTCTTCCAAACCCCCAAGACCATCAAACAGCCCTTTTTCGATCCTTCTCACCTGGGAGTCCCTCAGGTTCACTCTCCGCAGGTGATTCAGGGACCGGAAGGTGCCCACGGGGAGATCCTCTAACTCGGCCCCCGTGATTTCCAAATCCACCAATTTCTCCAAGTTATCAAAAGCTCCTGCTTCAACTCTTTCAACCTTGCTGTTTATGAATTCAATCTTCACCAGGTTAGACATGTTCTCGAAGGCCCCCCGCCTGATTTCCCCAATGCTGGTCTCAATAAAGAACATTTCAGTGACAACGGGAGAAACCGACTTGGGGATCTCTGTGATGCCTCTGCCCCTCTGGATGTCTTGATGGGGGCAGCTCTCGTTCGGAGCGCCACTGCAATCCTGGTCCCCTCGGCCGGCCCTGAAGAGGAGGAGGAGGAGGACCAGGATGGGGGTCCCGAGCCACATGCTGGAAGAGACCAAGAGCCCTGAGCCTTTTTCGGGGTAACCTCTGCCCCTGCCAGCACCCTCTGCAATGTCTCAGACTCGGCTGACTCAACGGTTCGACCCTCCTGACAGACTCTCCACCTGCTGCTTTAATTCTTGCAAGCCGTTGCTCAATGGGTTTGCCCAGAGGGGCCCTGTATGCGCCTCCTTCCTGCGTGAAGGCCAGCAAGTCAGTCACTCTCATGTGCCCAGGGCCCCCCCCCAGTCCTCCCTCTTGCTCTCTGCTGCTGCAGCCACCCCCAGGCCAGAAGGGAGAGTCTGGCCCTGCAAAGGCGACACGGGCTGCCCACCCTTCCCTCTAGGGCCTCCCCACAGCTCTCCGATGTGGCGGCTAAGGGGACCCACCTGTTGGCTCAGCAGCCCCTGGAACTCCTTGCTGGCTTTCCAGGCCCGGGAGAAGCAGGAGGCCCTGAGAATCGCGCCACTCACCTCGCTGGAGAATCTGCCCCTGAGCCAGATGGGCTGCCGAGGGATAGGTGGCCCTTATCTCCCGGGAGACGTCTGGGAAGGGTGGAGGGGATCTGGGTGCCACCCGAGGCACCTTCCGCTCCCTGCCGTGGTCTGATAAGCTGTGAGAGGCCCTTGGCAGCCCCAGGAGTCACTGCTGGCGGCTCTGCTCTCTTCTGCCCAAGGGGCACATCGGGGCTCCGCTGCCCCTCCTTTGACACCCGCTCTCCACAGTGCGGAGAGCAGTCAAAGCCCCCCTGAGCGGGCGGGGGCCTGGTGCTGCCGAGACTGAGCAGAAGGAAGAGAAGGAACCCCCCTGGCTGAGGGAGCCCCCATCTCCCCAGAAGCAGGGCCAGGATCCCTGCACACTCCCTCCACCACCCCCCAACTCCAGAAGCTGGTGCCTGCAGGAGCAGAGGCTCCTTCTTCCGGCAACGTTAGGGGGGTTCCTCGTCAGGTGACCTCAGCACCCAAGTGGGACCAAATTGGAGGGAGCCGCTCTTTGGGGGGAACGAGTGACCAGGACTAGCGCTGTGGGAAAGGCCACCTCTGCATCCCCCCCCCCGTGGGACATAAAGCAAGGTCCACCTGCACCCACCGCCCCCTGCAAGCCCCCCCGCAAGCCCCCCAGCCAGTCTGAGAGGGATAGGAGGGTGGAGAGCTGTGGATTATGGGAGGGAGGGGGAGAGGCAGGAGATTAAGAGAGAAGGAAGGAGAAATAAAACTGCTCAAGTAATAACTGACTATAGTGATTTATTGATTTAGGCAGCCCCAAGGCTCTTCGCTAACCGATGATGAGGGAGGAGAATCCTAGCGGTGGGGGGGGGGGGCACAGAAACCGTGGGATCCAGCGATCTGCTCTTTGGCAGG